TATATATATGTATATATATATACATATATCTGACTTCGAATTAGGCGATATAATTTAAAAAAAATTTGAAGTGAAAGTAAGAATATCGTAAAGTAGTAATTTTCGATCTATAAACTTATATTCAATTATATGAAACTAAAAACTTATAACTAAATTTAGAAAGATGTTTTAAGACACAATCTTTCGTAATATTTCTAAAAAAAACTTTAGTGACATAAATCAGATAACCAGCTAGATTCTAGGATGAGATTGTGAATTGAAATGAACGTGTTTAACATGCCGCTGATTTTAAATATGAAATATAGATACATTATACATTATTTCCATATATTTCGCTAAAAATGTTATGTTCAACGATAATATAAAATATTGATCAACATTGCATGATTATTCAACAATCAGCATAATTAAGACAAACCATAAATGAAAATATATGATCCTAACACAAACAACATTAAAAATATATGTATATACATATAATAAATGCGCAAATGCATGTATATAAGATGATAATTCCTCAATCAAAATGTCTTCCTTTGCATTTTACTATTGCATTTGTGAATAAGATAGAAATTTTAATATTACAAGTGATAACAGCGAGTTTAAACGCGTTGTCGCATTAAATTTAATTGTATAAAATTACAAGGATGTGAGACCAAAATTAATATAATCAGAAAATAAATTAAAAGTGTAAATTGAGTTTTTTTCGAGAAAATCGATTTTTTAGAAACCGAAGAAAAAGAAAAAAAAATATTTTAGGCATAAACGACATATTTATTTTATTTGTTTATAAAATTATTATTTATAATTAAGGAATGCAAGGTTTATGGTGATTTCAGTCTGGGAGCTGTTAAGCCGCGATTAAAACTTATTTGTACTTTGATATCGTATGTATTTTACACATATATATAACCATGGCTAAAGGCATATTCATGCACGCTTACTGATAAACGTTGTATTTTGTAAAGATTGTTATACTCACATATGCATGAGTATATAAATGCAACTAACAAACAGATTCGCCTCCATTCGGCTTCTGAGAAATTGCGAAAGTAATTGGAGCACAAGTAAAATCATTTCTTGGAAAGTAGATCTCGAAAGAAGTTTTATTGATTTTGGCATTTACCGAAGACTCGATAAAGAAGATGAAACTAAAAATAAATTGACAACAGTTAATTATTGCGGGAAAAGGAGGTCAAAAAAGTACAAAATAGCGCATGAATCTAATCACTACTTAAAGCATTAACATCAGTCCTAATTTCTTTGATATTAATTTCAAAGTGCGTCTTTTTGCACAGCAATTTGAACAATAGATAATAAATCTGTTGATTTTCTTGTCATATATTTACAATACAGATCGATATTGATATCAACACAATACAGATTGATATTAATATCAATAGTGATCTCTATAATTATATAATTAATAAGAGTACTCCATCATACTTAAGAAAAGAATTGAGTTTTCATTTTTTATCAAACACAAAATAAACTTTTATCTCTATTATCTCTTAATCACATTCTTTTGTATATTGTTTCTATTGTTCGACTATTAAAGAATAAAATGTTTCAGTAATTTCTAATGATTACACGAATATTTTAACTTTATTTATTATTTGATGAAATATATGAGAAAATTCTAATAAAAATATTCTAATAAAAAAATATTTTTCTATAAATATATATTATTTTGCAGTTACGTTACGTATGCTCCAATTTGATACTAGTCATCTTTATCGAAATTTGATATCGTCTCGAGTGAGTATTTTGCACAAATTACATATACATAAATATAGTCAATTACAGAAATTATTAATGGATAAAGCGCGATAAATTAATGACTGGAGAAGGACACCAGATGTTATTAAGAAATTTAATATCACGTCATGATTTACATTTTTAAATAAATGTACAAAAGTTTTACAAGCTAATACTTGTAATTATGAAATTACATGATACAGAAATTTTGAAACATTATTTAACCGTATACCAATTGTGGATACTGCAGTGTCATTAATTATTCTCACACATTGTATATTATATTGAACATGCCATCTTATTTTATATAAAATATAACATGTAATGAATTAGTTTTATATATATATATATATGTATATATATTAAACTTTTACAGCTTTCAAAGTTTATCAAAAGAATGTAGCGTGATATGACTATATCTTATATATATTTAAATAAAAATCACAACTGCATTATAAGTGTTAATATTAAAAAGTTTAATATATATATCAGAGCTATTATATATCAATTCTCACAGTTTCTTTAAAATACGATATTTACTTCATTAAAATATATAATGTTAATAGGATTGCTCTTTGTATCTGAACTAGTATATTCATTATACTTAATAAATTGAAGTAGACACATATTTAAAGTTTGGCGAAAGCAAGATAGAAAGTTTTAGTGACATTCTACGGAATTTTTTCAACATATTTAGGTACCATGACTCTTTTTAGTGGGTCGGAAATCCAGAGATTTGAAGAAGTTTTATACAGTCCAGCGACAAAGAACAGGCCTAATATAAGTGATAGCCTCAAAAAGTCTAAAAGAAACAAATAAATGCAACGAAAATATATTAAAAACAAAGTAGTTTGATAAAGAAAAATGCTTATTTAAAAAAGCAAAAGTATATATTGCGCTTAATCACAATTTGTTATTGTAAAAGGAAATTAATGCATAACAGAGTATTTGCCACTGAATTTTAGACCAAATATGTTTTCACAATATATAATCGATGAATTAATTCAATACTGAGTTTTGTTAAAAACAATAAATCTCTAGAATATATAACTATTGTAATAATATGTATATATTTATCATATTTGTTACTTCTAAATTTATTAAATGATTTTATTAACGTACATCAGGAATCTCCTTAAATTCGGAGTAACAAGAGAGAAAACTTCATATATTAATATCTTATATAATAATAAATAATACCTTCTTATCTACCTTTCTTTTTAGGATTAATTTACTGATCTGATAGTAATTCTAGTATATAACTAAAATCTTCACTATCAGCTTCGCTATCAGCAACATTACAATAATTTATGATTAAACAATTCACGCAATTTGCATTTAATTCTATAATTATAATAAGTAAGTTGTAGCCTTGTCTTTTCTTAAAAGTACATCTAATTTCTTGTTATATTGACTTTACTATATATTGTATGCAAAATTCTATTGATTTAATGCATCAGGTTCCATTTGGATGTTATCCCACTTGGTCCAACAATACAATGTTGACAAGTCGACAAGATCTTTACATGATCTTCAATATTAGACACTGTCATCTAAAAGAAAGACAATTATTCATTTGAATTCATTATAAAAGCAATTGCACTTGTATGTATGTAAAACTATAAATTAAGGCACAGCGAATTGCAAGTGTTGCACAAGACAGGAACAATATGATAAACAATATAATAATGTCAGAGACGGATCTTAATGGTCATACGTTATAATATACATATAGAGCTTAGTTCTCTCACCATGATACCACCACTTTGTCTTTTTTGGATTCTTGTTGCAGGTTTTCACATAAAATGTATTGTCAGGCGGTCTCTTCTGCATTGAAAAAGTATTTGCATTATTCATGAGCATTAAGGTTGACATATGATCGTAATTCATCTAACAGTTAAATCACGCACCTTCTCTTTACAGCTGCTTAGCATGGAAATGATACTCAGGCAAATGCTCTGTACACTGAGAGCGGGAGACCAATCCTCTGTTAATATGGATAAACAAATATGACCGTTGCTGTAGACGTGTGGATGTATAGGGATATTTCCACCGATAAAAGTCACTTCCGGCGAGTCGAACGGATATTTGGAGCTGAACTTAAATTGAAGCTGAAATTGTTCCCCCTCGTACAGTGTGCCCTTAGCACCTTCCATATGGACGATCCATTGTGTCAAATTTTGCCCAGCCAATTCTGCATCTACGTGCACACCCGGTGGAGGCTCGCGTATTAAAGACATCAACTCCTTCTGCAGTCTCCTCTAAAAATTCGTTAAGCAAAATTGATTTAATGTAATGATGTATTCTTTTATTTTTAAAATTCATGTAAAAATATTATCAGGCACCAAAATCCAGCCGTAACCATAAAAAGATGTTCTAAAATTTATCTATTTTTTCTTTTGGGATCAAACAATCTTACAGAGAAGAAACTACCTTGTTCAAAGAAATATAATGCACAACACATTTTTTAGATATATATTTTTTGAAATATAAACGTAACAGTGTTTTTTTAGAGATATGTAATATCCGTTGATATAAGTAATTTTACTTCCACAAAGATCTCTATTTAGCATATGTTAAATTAAATAAATCCTACAGAGGAGTTGTTATAAAAAAACAAAAGAGATAAAACCGTACTTTACGAGACACTTGTGATAAGTGATATCAAAAATTAAAAAATTGTTGTAAACAGTACGTATGTTGTGTATTTGAAGATAAATGCAAGCGCATTCTGGACAATGGCTCCTGATTTAATCCCCAAACCAAAATCGGAAACGATCGCGTCAACAACGGGCACGATTGACAATTCGCTGTCATTCGTTCATCACAATCGATCATCGTCAGCCGCCCGCTGAGCGGCGAGCGAGCGCGAGCAGGTCGTCACCCGAGTTCGTACATTTGCCATTTTCGTCTTGCAATGTCCGTCAGAATTACGCTTCCGACTCCCACGGCTTCTTCGCGAGTCGGAAGTCAAGGATCTGCTTTCTGTCTCTCCTTCGGTTTTTTTCGCGTGTTTCCTCGCGATTACGCGGACGGCCGACGGATCCGCCACGTTTGACTCGCGTCCCCAGGATCACGCAGGTGGGAGATGGGAGATCGCCGAGAGAAAAGAAAGGAAAAAAAAAAAATGGAAACCTTCGACGTACCTTCGACGGGGACGTTGCTGCCATTGTCGTCAAAGCGCTCTCCATCGAGAGAAACATAACCGCGGCCTGTTCGCGGAGCGGGCGCTCGTCTCTCTCCCTGCCTGCCTGCCTGCCTGCCGTTGCCCTTCCTCGGGAAGGAGAATCGTGTCTCACGTTCGCCCGGGGTCTCGCATATTTCCGCGCGCGGAGGAGAAACACAGGGGCCGTGCACACAGGGGGCAAACGCGCGGACACGGTGGTGCGGGTTCTCTCGCGCTAGCTAGGGCTGCTCCCGCAGCGTCGGCGATCGCATTCGCGGCGCGACGATGACACGACGACCGAGCGGATCGAGCTGCCGTCGCGAGGCGCACAGCGCACGATCGTCGTCGCACATATACACACGCGGAACGCGCGCGCGTATGTACACTAATTCCCGTACGCGCGCAACGGTACTTTTTATTACGAGGATGCGAGCGGACGTGCACGAACGCGAGCGCGATTGGATCGCTCGCGCGCGACGGACGGGATCTCGATCTCGCGTCCGGCCGGCAGTGGGAACGCGTTGTCCGCGGAAAGGTAGAAGACGGTAGGGCGGACGCGCGACGGCGAGATTGTCGAGCACAGAGATTGTCGAGCCGCGCGCGAAATTCAGGAGATTCTTCACTATCTTCAGCTGCGCCGGCGGCACGCTCGATGGAGGCGCGGCGTGTCGATATCGACACGTCGCGGACTCAATAATTTATGGTTACCCGCTCGGCCGCCGTCGCTCTCGACCGCGACTCGAGACCGAGACGAGGGAATCGATGCCTCGTCGTAAGACGTATAGATGTCAAAGTACGAAACACATGATCCGATCTTCAAAAACGTGCGCGCGCTCGGCCGCCCGGAAGCGACCGACCGCCTGACCGGATGTCGGAGACGACGCGAGGCGGCGCGCGCCCTGACGGTAAATGGCCACTCTGAAAGTAAAGGCGAGTCCTCGCGAAACCTCTGGAATTCTCCTCGCGGATCCGCCGTCGCGCTCGCGACGTCAACTCCACTTTGAGTCCACACCTGTGGGGGCGAGAGCGAAGCGAGAGTCGGTGCGAGCGCGACACGATGACAATCGCTCGTTCATGACTGTAGCCTGAAAATATTTTTGCGGATGACGTTTTCTCTCGCGCGGCCCCAAGATCGGCGGTGGGACGTTGTGGGATTCACGGTTATTTAATTGTCGCGCGTCCGAGCGGGCACGGAGGGTCTCCCGAATTGTATTCCGCGGTGTCGCCGGGCGGACGGTGCAATGGAGAGTATATTTCACGAGAAGGTAAAATAACGCGCGCGCCCCGTCTCGATCCCCCGTGACGATCCAGCGACGATCAATCTTCCGAGCGTTCAGTCGCGCGCGGAAGCGACGACGAGAGCTCGCGCGGTACGTCTGACGTGATCATATATCTCTTTTTTTCTCCGCCCCCGCAGCAAGAGGGATACCTGTGCGCCCAGCACTGCCTGAACGCGCTTCTGCAAGGCCCGTACTTCAACGCCGTCGACCTGGCGAACTTCGGCCACCAGATGGACGAGGAGGAGAGGATCCGGATGGCCGAGTCGGGCGTCGACAGCGAGGATTACAAGCTGTTCCTCGAGGTAAACACGCGACCTGGTGGCGCGGGTGGCGCGGCGTCGCGAAGCCTCTCGGCCGCGCTCGATCGCGAAGTAGCGGACTCGACTCGGATGGAGAGGCGTCACGCGACAATTGAGATTGTGCAGAGAAAACGAGATACTCCCTCCCCCTAAGAGACAGCTCTTACCCTTCTCGAGGAAAAGAAATAACTCCCTTCTCGAATAGAGACGCTAGTGAACGCTTGACCTTGCTATTCGTCCCGCGCGCCGACAAGCCATGCAAATACATACCTGTCTGTAACAACAGCAAATTGCTTCTTATGTTTAGCAACCATCGGGAAACATGGACGACAGTGGATACTTTTCAGTTCAAGTTATTAGCAGTGCTTTGAAAGTTTGGGGTTTAGAACTGATTCCATATAACAGCACGGAACCGACAGCTTTACTGGCACAGAACGATCCTTCGTAGGTTATCGATAATTTGTTTTCGGCCCATTTTTGCGTTGTCTCTCATGAGACTATTTTGTTCCATTTGCACTCGCGAAGAGAAGAGCACTCTTGCCGAAAAAGATTCTCCCATTGCTCTCGAGACAATTAACAGTAACAGATCACACATATGAATCTTAAATACACACATAAATTGCGTAATGTATTACATATTTATTTACATTATTATTGTTCATGTCGAGCGTACTCACTTTTCAAAGAACTTTAAAATGAATAATTTTCGCCTTATAATAATTTTACAAGATAATGCGTGAGGTGTGACGGTATAATTTTCAGGCGGATGAGAGCATATATTTGTAATTATAAGGGACATTGGTTTACAATAAGAAAACTCGGAAGCCAGTGGTTTAATTTAAATTCGATGCTTAGCGGACCCCAGCTTATATCAGACACTTACCTCACGATGTTTCTAGCTCAATTGTTACAAGAAGGTGAGTGGATAGCGAGATAACGAGCGAAAAGCACGCCGAAACATGACATAATGTCAATCGCCGATCCTTCTTACAGGTTATTCTATTTTTATCGTTATCGGTACCCTTCCGCAGTGTCCCGCCGAGGACGTTCTTCTGAAAAATCCCATAGTTGCCACGAAAAGCAATTCAAACTCGGAAACGAAATTCACGTCCAAGGGCCATCGCCTAGGCACCAAGCTGGAGGATGAAATCTTGAAGACCGCGCTCGCGATGGGCGAAGTGAAGGTCCCGGAATCCTCAAGTGCAATCAGAAGTGTGCAATCCTCTCACAAACCCGGAGCGTCCACGGAGGAGGAGGAAGAGGAGGAGGAGGAGGAGGAGGAGGATGTGCCTCGCGAGAGGATAATCCCCATACGAGTCGAGGGCAGGGATGACAAGAGCGACGAGGAGGAGGACGAGAACGTGCAATTGGCTAGAGCCCTGCAGATGAGCTTGCAGAACGACGATGACGATGTGGACAAGACGCTCAAGTTGCGACTGGATCTTCACACTGACGACAAAACGACGCATTTAACGGAACCGGTGAACGACGTGGACGAGGACGACGAGCTGAGACGAGCCTTGCAACTGAGTCTCGAGTGTGTTACCGCCCCACCAACGCCCGATCCCGAGGATCTACGCTGGCGCCGGCTGAACCACTTTGGCATCTACACGAGGACGTCCAACAGTGAAGCTCCCGCGAAGCTGAACACTTAACAATAAGCGCGAACTCTGCACAAATTATCTATTACTAAAACTGACCGTTGTATTGTAAATTATACGATCGAGCAGCACGAACTCGGGGAAAGGTGTTATGTCACTTTGTATACTAACGGTAAGAAGAGATGCCGTATGTCGAAAACGAGATCGAGGTACATTTTTTTTTCTTCTTCGATTCCTCAAGATCGAGTGGAGCTCTCGTTGACGTTTCGTTCTCCCTCTCAACTTTGTTATACTAATCGTTCTCGGAATAAAAAAAACGTTTGAGCAAGAAATCTGCCGTTAACCAATTCTGATCTGAATATGTATATATGTGTATGTGTGTGACAGTTTATATATATAAATATATATAATATATATTTAAAATATAAAAAAAAATATACTTGAGAAAAACGATTTTTAATATAAAGATTTAGTTCTAAGAATTAGAAAAAAAAAATGAATAAATTAAATCGAAATTACAATTTAGCTTAATTTATTCGACTAGTTGCGAGTAACTTCGATCAAACTTCAATTAAACCGACGATTAATTTGCTTATATTAGTTTTCAACATGAATAAGATGATTTAATTTTTTATTAATATATATGGAACATTAGAGATAACGAATTACATACTTGTAAATTTTGTTTTAAGCAATTCTGTTGAATTAATCGCTGATTAATTGTTAAACGGATTTTAGTCGAGATCGTCCTTAGGGAATCATTCGTTGGCCAATAAAAAAATTCGTTCTCTAGGAACAACATAGAAATGGCATTGGTGAATAAAAATAAATAAATGCAATCCATTTACGCAATCAGCCGTAAACGTATCATTTTATCTTTCTCGTTCACTGAACATTGAATAAGGACAAAAATGATACATCTGCAGCAGTGACTGCATGAACGAACAATGCACCCAATCCAAGAACGAATGGGCTCGAAAATCTTTATTTTTCCATGAAATGTCAATTTTCGCGAAATCACTCGAGAAGATTGTGGAGGCAAAAGGAAAGTGCGTGAGGTAAGTTCGAGAAAATTCCAGAGGAACCAAAGAGCCCTCGTCGTAGAGGCGCGTTTCCATCGCGGCGTCGCGGTCGCGCTCAACCCCGACTCGGGACTGGTTCCGGACTGCGCGCGCGCACACAGGAAACTCGTGGTCGCTCCCGCTGGACGTATGCGAACGCCGAATGTTGACATTCAACATGGCGGCATGTCGTCAGTGCTGTGCTGTGTCGTGGTGAGTCTCGTAAATCCTCCCGACGTTTTGCAATTGCGAGCTCTGTGCGGGGACGCGTGCCATCCGGATCGGCGCGATCCGGGCCGTCGATCGCCGGTCGATTCGGCGACCGGGACGGGCCGACGGGGCCGCGTCGCGGCCCCGCGGCGACCGCCGCGGCGTGATAAGGCTCCACTCCGCGCGACCTCATAAAAAAATCAACCTCGTAAAAAGTCGCGGGGCGAGCGCACATGATAACGCCTCGCACCGCTCGCCCGCCCCGCTGGAACGGGGAGACGCGCGCTCGGGACGGACCGTCGCGGCCGCGATCGCCACGAGGGTCCCCCCCCGTCGCTCGTCGTCGCGCGATCGCCACCCCCTTTCGAATTTCCGCGAATGTTTCACACGCGCTTACAATCGTGCGTCCGGCGGACCGTTGTCGGCGGCTGACAACGGTTGATAGCGCGAGCCGGGATAAGGATCGCGGTGGAGATGGCAGCGCGAGTCCGAGGGGTCATGACTCACGTACCTCGGTACGGAGCATGCCGCGGCGACGTGCGACGCTCTTCGCGTCAGACGTAATTTTCACGCGGCCGCGTAACGAACAGTGGGTTTCGGTTATCCCCCTTCGTGTCAATGTCAAATCATCAGATAATCAGCCAGAAGCGTGTTTGTCTCGTCGCGGAGCGCTATAAATAAACCGCGTTGTTATTCCGTCGCCGTCGTTTCCTTCTCTCAACCCCGGAAAATTCTTTTATGTCCCTGCAGGGACGTAGGAAGTAACCTACGTAGGCTCGATCACGTGCGTGTCGCTCGTAATACGTGTTGAAATTCTCGGCACGCGTGTCCGAATTTTCCGACGCTCTTTCGTGCGTATCTTCATTGATTTAAATTGATTTTTATTCGAATACGTATCTGTGAGAAATTGTTATTATGGCAGAGTATAAAATTGTTAGTATTTTCTGCCGTTTTCATATATATATATATATATATATAT